CCCCTACTAATAATAAATAGTTCACACTAAACAATCACACGTAACATATTGAGCGGACCGAACCATCCCATGAGTCCATACACGGACTCAAGGACAAGAGTTGTTCTTCTCCCATTACTCGTCTGCTACACGGTCCGCCACATGTCCATAGTCCAAACGCATCTGTCTAATCGACGGCTCAGATCAGATATGACATGTCATGTGACGGATTGTGAGGAACGTGATGGGCGGTGGGATTTGCACGTGATCTGAGGAGCAACGGTCAGATATTATCATTCTTTTAGTGGTAGCAGTTACCGTTTTGAAGAAATTATCATCATGGACCGACATTATTATGAGTTCATACAAAACAAATATTTTCAAGTACGATACTACACTCATTTTTGACCTCTTACATATAATCTTGAATTATACATAAACTTGTTATTATATCTCATTCACATGTAAATATATTACTACAACGTATACATAAACTTGCCTGTTATACGGATGATGTTTTATTATGAGTACTGTTCGTGTATGAGAATCAGTTCGATTAATTTTACGATCTAGGGAAATAAAAAAAAAATACTTGTGTTAGAATATAAGTTTGTTAGAATTTTTAACTCAGAGTTGGTTTACCAAATACGTGGCGGACTAGTAGTTAACACTTGAAAGTTGATTTCATTGTGTTCTAGTCTAATTCTTTTGGGAAAAAGGATATTTTCAAAAAGAATAGACTAAATGTTAATTTTGGATCTACGAAAAATAAGAATTTGGTTCTAAATTCGAAATTGCAAAAAAAACAAAAAAATTAGGATTGGCTTGAAATTTTGTTTAATTTGGCTTTTACAAATGTATATATAGTTTTACCAAATCCAAACTCGATTCATTTTCCCAATTTTATTTTTTGTTCTGATCATACTATATTATAACCACGGGCGGAGGCAAGTGGGTTAAGTAGGGGGCAGTTGCCCTTTGCCCCCCAATAAAATTTGATTATTCAATACAATTTACAAAAGAATTTATTTATTGCACCCATAAAAAAAATATTTTTGTCCCCATTGCATCATTTTGCATTTTAATTTTTTTTTTTCAAATTGTACTACATAAATTTGAGTGGGTTTATTTGCATTCCTCAGCCCATTTATATTACTAAATGTTAATAATCTTTTTATCATATAAAAATCCATAAAATATTTAACAAATTATTTTATGTTTTTTAGCCAACTAATCAATTAATATTTATGTCCTATTAGCTCTGCCATTGATTAGAACAGTTATCTACTAGGAATCAAGGTTATCAAATTTTTTTGTGTTTGACTATCTATTCTGTTGCACACACAAACAAAAAAAAT